ACATGTTTGAACTGAAGCTGCTTCTCCAAGGTCTTCTGGTTGAACTTCGGCAAAGATGCACTGAAAAACCTGAGCTTGGAATTCCAGGCATCCCGATCCACTTCAAGGGGCTCTTTCGTTTCGCTTCAGTCGGCCGGACCTATAAGCGACCCCCCGAAGGTGGTCCTACATTGTGCAGACTGGGACGTGTCAGATGCTGGCGAGATGGCAGCCACTGAACGTGAGCCCGGCATGTGGTCGAAACGTTCACCCAAACAGGTCATTTGGCTCGAAAGGTTCGACCAAAGACGTACCATGTGATGTGATTGTTGAGCATTGGAGCCCAAACTGGACAACATCTTTTGGGACGGAATTTTGTGTCCGAATTTAGAGGTCACTCACGGGTCACTCCGGATGTTTTTTCAGGGCCAACAGCACCCCTTCCAACCACTCCGTGGCGTCCAAAACCACGAACTCCGCCTCAGGCGCCACGGAGAACCGCTTCCACTTAGTCTCAGTGAACAGGCGCGGATGACCGAGTTTTGACTTAGTCAGCGCCGAAAAGCATGTATTCTACGACTGGTGGGAGGCGGCGTCCGCTCAGTAACAAAACTTTGGATGAATTTGGATGAAACGTCCAAGCAGGCATGAAAATACATGAAACGCGCATGCACTGTTTCTATCTTTTTCTCGGATAACCCCCAATTTACTTCCATGTTCTTGATCGTGGCGCTCGTCTCAGGACACGCCCAAGCGTTGACCGATACTCTTCCCTGTCCTCTCCAAGATTCGCTACCTCGAAGGATGAATAAATATGGTTCCTTCATGGTCTTTACGAACAATTGTCGTTGTACCAAAAGAACATGTTCTTGCTCCACTTCCAGTGATGTCTGGAAAAAAAAACTCAGTTCCCGCTGGTTTCCCACCTTTTTAAAGCGTCCTTATCCCTCACAGGTCTCGCCCCACGCCCCAGTTCCCTCCGGACGTGTCGCTCCAGCGGACGAAAGACTCGCCGTCTCAGGTTGGACAGTCCTGGCCGCCTCGGCTCCCAAACCATCTTGGCCGGTGAATACATCGGAGGCGCGTCACCAAAGCATCGGACCGGGACCCGATGTTTTTGAGATCTGCTTGGGAGACGTTGTACTTCGATGTTGCTGTCAATGACTTAAAGTAGTATATACGATGTATTACGCATGACTCATGACCTACTATAGCTATATATAGGAAGAAAAGGGACCAAATACTGTAATGGCAAATTTAGTAGACATGACATGTGACATGTTGCCTTCTGCGAAGAACACCCCTGTTGCTCGCAGGCGAGCCGATCCCTCTCATGCGCTATGGGCAGGTGGGCGACGTGTTGGTCCGGCACGGTCTCCGAAGTGAAGATAGTCTTTCAGTCTTAGACTCAGCTTCTATTTGACAGTCGTAAATGTGTACCTGTTCGAAAGTACAAGTCTTCGCATAATTCGTTGACTACCATGGGGGAGGCTTGAGTTGGAAGAAAATGGGTTTTGTGGGCGTGCTTGCCAAACTCAGCTACCTGGGACCTGGACGACATACAGTTTTTCCCGTTCCGAAACCTAGATTCAGTCCTGCAACCGACATCCGCCCAGTTTCAATTTGGTTGTTTCCCCAACCACACGAAAGATGCACCTTTAGATGGGAGACTTCAGAGAAGCAAGAGAAAAGAAAAAAGAATGGACCAAATGTGTTCATTTGAAAAAAGGTGAAGAACAAAGTGTCGCTTTGGGGTTCCGTGCTCGGAGAACATGTATCGCCATGCATCGCCATGCATCGCCCCCTTTGCTTGCAGGGGATTTGGTGTCGCTACGGTGTAGAGGAGCAGATCATTGTGGAGCTTCAGAGAAGGCTGAGTAAGCCTGTGTTTTCCAGCAGTTTGCAGCGGCCAGCTTGACAAGCCAAAGGGATCAATGACGACAAATGACATGATATTCTGAGAGATTCTTGGGCAGGCAAGCTCATTGCAAGATGATGGGCCTTGATCCTAGAACAACTTGCTTTGTCAATCGCCAATCGCAGGCGGGGTGGCTCACCCCCACGTTCTTTCAGAAGTCGAAGCCACAAATGCCTCGCCGCGGCGTTCCGCGCAACGGCCCGGCCTAGGTGACCATTTGGATGTGCTTGCGAAACGCTCACCGGAGCTCTACCACGTGCCAGCACCTCATGTCGCTGGGAGACGGCGACTGTTTTCGTGGAGAGACGGTCCCCGGCGTCCGGCGTTCGGCACATCGAGGTGCTGCACAGCTTCTGAGGACGGTGCTGCAGGGGCCGCCTTAGGAAGTCGAGATGTGATGTAACAAAAGACCGGTCCGACTTGGTTGAGAGGATGGAAAAGGTCAGATGTTTTTCGGTGATTCTCCAAGTTAGAACATGTTTCTCTAAGGTGCTTGGGACATTCTATTTGTACCATGTTTCTAAGGTAATGTTGGATCTTGATTAGTAAAGGGGGTCCCCCCCTCCTCTCAAACAAATGAAACAAAAGGAGGATCCTCTACAATAAACTACCACCAGGGGTCACTCAAGTTCCAGACATATGATGTCTTCATCGAATTCATCGAATCGAAACTAGTTCCAGACACGACCGCCATCTGGGAAGTGCCATGCTCAGTTGGGGTGGCTTTCAGGGGTCAATTGATCGGCCAAAAATCTCAGTCCTATTTGTCATGTCTGGGGGTGGGATCATGGCATCATGGAGTGCTCAGAAGGCTCACGACTTCGGAACACGACTCAGCTCGCCTGCGAAAGGTGAAGTCGGACCCTGGTCGCGACCTCCGAGTCGACTCTTGATGGATCAAACAGGATCAAACCTCCATAAGCCTCCCATATGCAAAAGGTGTCGCATTCCCAATGAAAGGGCCAGGAGGATAGAGGTGCCCAAGTGGGTGCCCAAAACATCCATTCATATCCACTCAGCTCCATGGGACGAGGCAAGCCACCCAGTCATCAAGAGTCTACAGCAGGCGAACCGGCCTTCAAAGGCATCCGATCTTCAACGCTTCAACGCATCCGATCTGGCCTGGTTGTCCTGGTGGCGTTGATCTCGACCATTCTTCTATCAACCCATCTTGGTTTACAATTTCAGAGTAGATGGCACAAAAAAACCCAAGATGTCCTGAACAGATGGGGGTCCATATACAGCATATCACCAGAATGGGAGATTGTGATGGATTGTGTCATCTACTCTGAAAACTGCTGCAATTGACACCGGGCTATCTCCCTCGACCATTCCCACGAGACCCGGCTGTGAGGATTTGTTTGGCTGGCGGCAGACCAAGCTGCCCATGGACATACATCAGTGCCTCGTCCGGAAACAAGGTGTCAGGCAAAGTTCTAGATTCTGTGGCTGTCATCTCAGCTTGGTAGAGAAAGAATGGTGCAGTTTCAAATACGTTCAGACCTGCCTTAGGGCTGCAAGAATTGGCTGGTGTGATCCAAAAGTTATTTAGAAAAAGAGACAACGCTCTTGGATTATATATACAGTATATATGTGTGTGTGATGTTTGTTTACTGTATATGTTTTGTGTGTGTTTTCCCGACCGAGCTGGGCCTGGGTACTGTCCTTTCTTGCATCTGGTGGACCAGGTCCGATGAGCCTCGAGCATGGCCAAAGTGCCGATTTTCCGAGGCGAATCGAAGCGCTGTCAGCTCGGTGAAGTAAGATGTGTTTGGCAAACAGGTTGGTTCTCTTGGAGGAAACTAGTCGTCCAATTTGTACCTATTATATAGAGTTGCTTTTTGAAGATGTTTGTTGATTAAGTCGTCCGTGTACATGTATTCACCCTCGTCTCTGTTGCTTTGTTTGGAGCTGGGTCTGAACCGAAAGGGGGTCGGTCGGATCCGTGCCGAAAGGGGGTCGGATCCGGTCTTCCTACTTTGAGCTACACACCCCACATGGTCTGATGTGTGTTTTCTCTTCATTTGGTGGTCCAATGTTTGTTTGTTTTCTGATTTGGATCGCTGTTGCTTCATGTGGATCAATTTGTGGTGCTTTCTTTCATGGTGTGTGTTTTAATCATATTGATCCATGATCCATGTAGTTGGCCGTGTGACTTGGCAGGATTTCTCGCAGCTGGTCTCATGCAACTTGTCGGCATGTGTGAAGTGAAGAAGGCAGCTGGTGTTTGGAAGATACCTCGGAACACAGTATCCGTCGATTCGTCGCTTGTCCAGTGATGCCCATCTTGCTCGGATTCTACGATCATGTGCACTCCTGAAAAAAAGAATAAACGGACCGCGAAGCGTGGATCGGCATGAAACTGGTCCCTCAAGGAAGACAGTCTTGGTCCTCCTGCGTTCGCAGGTCGGATCGTCCCAAAAGACACGACGGATCCGCGACCCCGTCCCGCGACCCCGTCCCGGCGACCTCCCTCGGACGGATGGTCTCGAACTCTCTGGACTCGTACGGCCGAGTTCCCCGACCGGCCAAGGAGAAGGGTCGACGGCCGGCGGCCGGCGACATGCAAAAAGGGACGGAGGGCGGACGGAGATGCAGGGGAGCGTCAAACCGGACCTGACGATACGCAGTGCAGGTGTCTGTTTTTTTGGGGGGGGGCACTGAGCTGAATGTAAGATAGCTGTGCAAGAAAGTTGCCACAAGAAATCGAGATGTTGAGGTGTTCGAGCTTGGTGGCTTATGGGGAGTTTCGAGCCCAAATCCACAGCAAGTTCGTCTCAGTTTTGTGGAGAATGGTCGCAGAATATGTTGCTTCTGTTGTTGAGCTGTATGGGTTCCAATTCCTGGTGCTCAGAATCCTGACCATTGTGCTGCCAAGTCTGGCCCCGTCGCAGAACGCTTGCTTCTGGATTCTTCTGGCACATGTTTTGGGTCTGTCCTAGTGCCTGTAACAGTCAGTAAACAATTTTGGAACAAGCCTTTACTAACCATCATCCACTGGGCTTTGGTAATAGGATAGACCCAACGCATAGGTCCTATGTCCTTCGTTCGCACGTTCGCACGATTAACCTGTGCTACGTTCGATCGGTACAGCCCTTGGCAGGCGTGGTGATGGAGTGCTTCGGACACGCCGCAAGGCGCGGACGCGAACGGGATCGTATGGAGTGGTTACTACCCGGCGAAGCGTTAATGAAGCATCTGTTCCACAAATATGAACAGACGGAAACTGAGGGGTCAGGTATTGGTTCCAAGCTCATGGTGTGGTTAGTGGATGTTAGTGGCAGGATATATATGTTCATAAATTTCATTTCTAGCTGCGGGGCGGCATTTTTACATATATATATATATTAAGATCTGCCGTGTACCTCATTTGGGAAGCCAAAAAACTCTGGTCATCAACGTTCTTCTGTCAGACCTGTTGGTTCCAGAAATTGAGGTACCCGAGCCTCGGCACAAGATCCCATTGCCACAGACCCCAAGTTTGGTGGTTTAGATGGGCCCCAAAAGATATCTTGGGGTGCCAGTGCCATCTACTCAGAAAGCCCTGTCAAAGCGTCTTTGGGGTCTTTGGGGTCTTGTGTTGAAACACGAAGGGCTGGGTCCGGAACGCCGTGTTCGGAACAGGATGGTGCATGGGGGTCTTCCGATCATCCCCAGTTAGCGCAAGCTGTTTGGAAGTTTGATTTGCGACTTGTGGGCCGTGCGTTTCAAAGAGGACAGGAACCTTTCACAAAGCTTCCTCAGTCAGCCCTGGAGTTCTTGTTTGTATCTTGTTTGTAGGACAAGTAAGACATAGTCAGGAGTCAGGACTTCAACAGTCAACATGCCCTATGTGTTCCGGCTGGCGGTGCGGTGGGTTGTTCTTCCTATTACTATTATTTTTTTTCTTTATTATGAAAGTATGGACTGAAGCGAGCTTGTAAAGTCTCAAAACTACTGTAAGTGCTGTCTTTATCCAAGAGCGGTCCTCTTCACCAGGGATTCTTGGTGCAAAAGTTGTACGCCCTGCGCATAGCTCTGCGCCAAGTCTCTAAGTGTCACTCGCAGATCCCAAGAAATTTGCTGATGATAGGAAAAGTGGACTCCAAGTGAGAAGGAATGCGTCAACCAGAAATTCCAGGCCTATGACTTCACGACTATAGTGACTAGACTAGAAGACTAGATGCACAAGTTGTGCCCCTTCAGATGCAGACGTTTTGAGTGCTGGAATATATCAGTGGTGTTGGAAAAGTTTGAGTGCTTCCCATAACACAACATCTGGAGGGTTTCACCTGGAGCACCCAGCACCTCATGGGCACCACCTGGACACCAAACACCAGGCGACCTCCGTGCCACGGCGGATTATTTATGCCGAGGAGGTGGGCAGAGATGTGTCGGTTTTTTGGGGGCGCCAAAAAAGGAAAGAACACATCCTCCGTCAAGAGTCATGGATTTAGATGACCGATGGCCCTACTCTTGACCCATGTTCCTCTACAAAAGCGATCTACTGCCCTGGCTCATCCGCCGATGGCTCGGGGGCTCTGTCAAGGCCGTAGATCGTTCGTCGGCGATGTGCAGATGTTTAAAGGGTTCCCTTGTTCGGGTCATTCTTGAGGCAAAGCGCTGGAATGGGTTGAACACATGCAAGCGTGCATCCCAGAATCGGTTTAAATGATCACCAAAAAGCAACAATTTGGGGGTGAAAGCCATGGGTTTCCTGTAGATGTTTCCCTTAAACCAACCCATCGAGTGCGGTGTCATTTCGAGCCTAGTTCCTGTTGCTTTCTTTTGCAGCCTTTCCCAGGTCCCTTGGCCTGCCAGCAGCTTAGTTCCTGATGGTCAATGTCGTTGTTTTTCAGCAGAGGGTCCAACTAGAGATAAAAAGGTAAGAGGATGAAGTAGGTCCTTCAAGGTAAAAAGATTACAAAGTATTACCAAACTATCAAAACATAGGGGGGCAATCACAGACACAAAGACACATTTAAATAATTGCATCAAAAAGACCTAGATACTTGATACAGGTACAGAGAAGGAACGAAACACCAAAAGATACGTGGATACATCAATAACAGATGTATAAGTAGATATATATATATATCATGGATGGATTGATCGAAAGAGGGGGAGAAAGAGAAAGCAAAAGTTGCCAAGAGTAACGAAAACAGAGAAACAAACTGCAAGGACCAGAGTTTCATGGAGGCACGGGTGCTATCCCTCCATGGAGGGTGCCGTCGGGGTTTTCTCCAACGTCACCTCCACAGCCCCTGGATGGGACGAGGCACACGGGCACCCGTGGCTCCCCTGGGAAGGAAGACTTCGTACATCAGAGCCATGGCCGTTCGAGCGTCGGTGTCTGTCTCTTTCCGAGGTCCGGAAGAAGAACACTGCAGGCACGGCCTGGGTCGTCCTTCGCGCCTGGAAGACTCGGACCAGGAGTTTTCCGGAGAAGACCAAACAGGAGGTGTTCCATTTTCCAGATTTTTCTTCAGGCAGTGTATTGCTGTTTCATACCTTTCTCAGTACCTTTCTCCCATCTACAATGGCTTTCAGTTTAGACTTAGATAGATTTGCAATGATTTGCACAAACAGACATCTGAAGGGCTAAGAGTCTAAGAGGGTACTAAGAGGGCCGAATTCGGATCTAGCTACCCGGGAGCTCTAGACGCTGATGTTGGTTGACCTCCTGTAGTTCGTCCATTCCGCTCATCTTCGGAAAAAAAACCTCCAACGGGTTCCCTGGTGCCGCCGCCATGTCCTAACCCGTGTGTTCCTGTCCGTGGGGTTGAACCAGGCCCTGTGGACCCTGTGAACCTCAACAAGGCAAGAAGAAGAACCCGTTCTTGACCTCCTTTTTACCAACAAAAAACGTTTACGGCTTGGGGTTCTCTCTTAGAAAAGAAACACGCTGGCCACGGTCTGCCCGGCCGCGCCCCTGAAGCTTGTGCCGTCCTTGTCCTGAACCTTGTCCTGCTGTCCTTTGTCCGCACTCTTTCTCTGCATTGGCATTTCCCATCCATGAGATTTGACATCAAAGTGTTCTAGCAATACAAAAAACCTTGCATTGGAAAGAGCCTGTTTTCTAATTAAAAAAAAGGTCAAAAAAACGTCAATCCCAAAAGTCAAAGTCAAAAAAAGGTCAAATCAGCAAATTTCAGAAAGTCAAAAAATGTCAATTTGCCCAGATCCGACCTTTTTCGACAGTTTTTCGACTTTTTTTTGACTTCTTTTTGACTTTTGTTCGACTTTTTTTGACGACCTTTTTTTCGATTTTGTTTTGACTTTTTTTTAACTTTTTCGAGCTGTGGTCTACGGTTGACTTTTTTGACTTTTTTTTGACTTTTCTTGACTCCAGTAATTCCGCCAAGGCGAAGAGCCACAGTTTTGACGTTTTTTGATTTTTTTTCGACTTGTTTTTGACTTCTTTTTTTTTACTTCTTCGAGCTGTGGTCTATGGTTGACTTTTTTTGACTTTTTTTTTGACTTTGACTTTTCCAGTTGACTTTTTTGCCTTTTTTTAAAGCACGGATTATGGCCTTACCATATGAAAGGTTTTTTTATAATTCTAGCAAATTAGCACTAGGGAATGTTTCATTTGTTCGGTGCATGGTCCATGAAACTGTTTCTCATCGACATGGTGTTCAATACTTCAGGAATTTGGATGTACGTAGGAATTAATAGAACATGATTCGTGTCAAAAGGAACAACCTATAGCATCATTTGGTACACAAAAATGTGTCCCACTTTATTTCTGCTCGCTTTGAAAAAACTTGCACGATTCAAGGTCTCAAAAAAAAGTTGCTCGATCTTTTTTTGTTCTCCCATCATTCATGGATATCATGTACCACAACTTGCCTTCAACCATTCTAGCCCCATCCCAGCACTCATGCACATATTTTCAACCACCTGTTCCACTTGCGTTTGTAATGCAGGAGAGCGCGTCGCATCGTTCTGATGCAAATCAACCAGCTATGACATCGCCTGCTCATTCTACACACCTCAGAGATGCAAAACAATGAGCAAAGAAGACCTATATAATCGAAGATATGAGCTTCCAACTCTTCCAATGTAATCTTCATCTACCCAGGTTGCAAAACCTAAGATCCGGCTTGCACAACCAAAAGACTTGGTTCACATGCAGTATGTTTGCAAAACATACAATTGCCTGCCTCACCACACATGTGTGCACACATGCATGAAAACCATTTGCAAAGTGGCATTGAGGGCTGTAGACCATCAAAGCTCCCCTGGCAAGTTGATCTTCGATAAATAGCCTGCAGTTTCAAGGGCTTGCATAGAACCAAAACAGCACTAGAACCTCACAACAAGATAAGACACTAGCTGCCAACATGTCACCCAATTTCTTGCTCCATATGCAGCTTGGGGGTGCGCTTGAACAGATTCCATCCACGTGCTTTGCAACACGCTGCCAGGCCAATGTATCCTTCCTGAAAAGAGCTATATTGGGTATAGAGTATAGATTGCGTTATAACAGGCACTCGAACCACTATCAGCTCAACCTAGGCTCTGTCATGTTGTGACAATGCTGCGACAACTTCGCTGCTTCTGGGGATGGAATCCATCGGCGTCCTTTGACGTTGATGCCATGGAAGTACTCATCAACTGCACTCATTGTCCACCGCATGAGATGGAGCAACTCAAGATCCACCTAGCTTCACAGTGTGAGTCTTCAGGATTAGACACAGGCTACACACACACACACGCGCATAATACAATCCAAAACACAGTGGCTGGAGCAGGCCCACTGCAAAGAACCCAATGAAGCCATTTCAACAAACAAGTTGTGTCAAATCCCTTGCCACCAAACTTAGGCCAGCTTGACAGCCTCACAAGGATCAAATGAAAAACCACATCCTATTGAAGTCAAATGTCACTTCCAATTTAGTGCAACTTTGAAGCGAAGTGCACTTGAAGGTCTTTGTCAAGTCAAAGGTGGTTACGGTGCACTTCAAATGTTTCTGGCGGCGCCACGAATCAAAGTTGGCAAATGCCAAGGACAAGCTCTCTTCAATCTTGGTTCCTCCCCACCAGCGCAACCTGCATGCTAAAAGCACCTCAGATCAACCCTCGTGCGGAACTGCGTTGCAACTACTCTTGCATTCTCAAACATCAGCACGCAAGCCCGAGCTGCTATCAGCGATCCGCATAGGTGTTGTCCTACTCCTAGATGCCAAGTATGGGCTTGGTCAGGGCATGCATCATCATACCGGCACCCTGGCACAGCACTTAGAGCTGAAGGTGCTTTGGTAGGGTCAGACCCCGGACGGTGTGACCGCCATGGAGCGCTCAAGTCAGTCCTCCACCATGCCTGCATCAAAAGTCTTATTAACCGTTCCATTCAATCTTGCTACATTCATGCTGCCAGCAAGCCTGACCGCTGCAGAGGTGACAAACTCTCTTGCTGGTGAACCCACTGTCGAGCAAGTGACATTTACCTCAAAGTGTGAGCACACATACTACCCACAGCATGTTGCAAATAAAGTTCTGCAGAACTTGCATGCAAACAAGACACGTTGCCATGGCCAATCCCCACGCACCCCAACCATGGCAATATACATGCGAGTGGTGGTTCCATCAGCCTTGACCACCTCACATGCAAGCACAATATTGGACATGTTTGGACAATATTGCACATATTTGCACATGCACATGTTTATGTCACGCTCATCACTCACCATAAATCAGGACATAAGGCCAGAGCTTCAAATCCATTGTTGAACAAATCGTTGAGGTCTTTTGCGACCATAGCATGGATGCTCTCGAGCGACTCCACCCCATCATCGCCAATGGCATAGCGTTCACCCGGGAAGAGCGTACACAAAAAGTGAGACAAGAATGAATGCCCAAAAGGCTTTCCAACAGCTGCCAAGGCTGCCACATAAGAAGTAACCAATACTGCCCGTTTCAATTTGCCGCGCCCTTCATCCCCATGGTACATAAAGGGGATTACTCGGTGCAACCTGTTGCCGTGGTGGCTGAAACATGCATGTTCTGGAGCAACAGCTTTGTAAAGCTGCCAATAGCTCGAAAGAGCGAGCTCATGCGCCTTGTCATCCACGGAGAACCCATTCAAGATGAGTGCTCCACGAGTCTTTGCAAAGATCACATCAAGCCAGGACGATAAAAGCATCACTGGCCATGGAACACTTGAAGTAGCATTGTGGAAGTAGCAAGGACATTGTACACTTGATAGCTTGACATGCAATGACAAGCCATAGCGCATGATCAGTCTATGAAGGTTTCGAGACCAGTTTCCTGGATTGCTCCAGCTTCCGATCTGCTGGAGGACATCTGACCGACCTCAGAAACCCATGAGCTTACTTTAATCGTTCAGTTGGACCCTAAGCATCGAGCGTCCATCAGGTCTTCGGAATTTGCTTGTCAGCTGACATGCTGACACACACGTGCGGGCACTGTCTGCCTCAGACCACAATATTAGTGTTAGCTGCCCCTCCACAGGTTCCACAATCACTAAGGGAGAGACCCCTGTCTCAAAATGTTCCAGAAGTCTTTCCAGAAGTTCTGCTTCTTGGTCACCAGAATCTTCTGGCTGATCTTGGTCAGCATTTCCTGACATTCATGCATGATTATACATATATATCCAATTAAGGGTGTAAGATTTTGACATCAAATCTTCAAGCCTGTCTCTCCAGCCGAATCTGCAACAAGATCAACACCTGCGCAAGCACACGACATGCACACATGGAAAAGTATAATCACTTCTGCAACAGACTCTTTTCAATCCATGCATGAAGCTGGGATAGGTTTGCCAGGCATGAATGAACATCAAACAACTAAGTGATCATGCATGTCAGCTTTTGAATCTCCATGAGTGACGTCCCATCTCACCGCGCTTGACATCCAATCCATTAGATTGGCATTAAACCAAAACCCCGAGAACAAAATAGACACTGCCCGCTCATCAAAATCACATGCTGCATCACTTCTTCTGCTTTTTCCTTGCAGGTTTTCCAAACAACTTTGACGGCCGCATATGCATGCATGTTGCGTGTGTGCATCCAAAGCACTCTGTCTCTGACTCATCCTCACTCTTGACTTTGTCCTTTTTGCTTTTGCGCTTTCTCTTGGACCTAGCAGCCTTCTCCTCATCGGTCAATGGCGGCTTGTATGACCTCAGGACTGAGAAGGAATCCATACAACTGATTCACCAGAGGACCCTGGATGTTTGGGTCATGACTTCGCACGTCCCACCCAGTTGTTCATCATGGTGTCGTTCTTGCTGACTTCGATGAACATGTTGACCAACTTGTCCTTGTCCTCCCTGGCACCAATGTTTAGCTAGAATGATCAAGCAGCAAAAGTTGGACTAAACAAAAGCCTTTGCACCAAAGCGAGCATACTTAGAAAGAAA